TCCGGTAGGCAGAACAAGTGTTATTCACTTTCCCATTATGAGACCGGGAAACTGAGGCAGAGGGCAGACATAGGTCTGGATCACAACCAGAGCTCAACTTTTCTCTCCGGAGGTCTAAACAGTCGGCTAACAGAACTCAACTGGCTGTCAAACTTTTCTCTTACTAATTACACAAAGCTGCTTTAAGAAAGTATTCACTTCACCACGGGCTTCTGCTCTGCATCTTTAATATTCAGGAAATGATTTGTGCCCCTATTCCTGTCTTAGAAGAACTAGCCTATTTTTCACACAACTTTAGAATTGTTATTATTATTAATGCTGGTAATTAATCAGCTTTAAGAAATAATTTGCTGAAATCTTTAAATCCATCTTTCCTTAGAGTCGGTCATATGAAAACTAAGACTGTGAAAAAGCTTTAAAGAAAACTTTTAATACAAAATGATTAGGCATCCAGGTATTCAGCTAAAAAATGCTCCATCTGGACCCTTCTTCAGGGAAATCTGCGTTCACCTGCCTTTCAAGAAATCTGAATCCTTTCCAAGGAAGAGGAGCCCAGAAAGGTTCTTTTTCCTGAGAGCATTTTCCTTATTCCTTTACTCCCTTCAGCTGTTAGCAGCAGCTGGTGCCCTCAGCGTGCTGAAGTGCTGCCTTGTAAACATTCTCTCTAATACCTCGCATTACTCATAGTTTGAAAATCACTTTGACTCCCGAAACGTAATTATGTTAATGTCAGATGAGTCAGCAGGGGGACCACACGCTGCTCCTATGGCAGTCACGCCTCCTGCCAGCCTCTCAGCTCCTGAGGCTTGGGGGGGGGGGGGGGNGCGGGCAAAGGGGCAGAATTTAAAAAGAGAGAAACCCCCTTTCGGGGAGGAGAGAAGAGAAATGAATGCTTATGGCTCAACGAACAGCTTCAAAGAGTGGCTGATTTCATTTTAGCTGCAACATGAAAGGGAGAGTCGGAATAAAATCGCTAACCCTAGGTTAATCCTTTTACGTGAAGAATAAACAAGAATTTGGCGAGTTTCCTCTAGATGAGCTGTAATTTTCCCGCCAGGATGGGTTGAGACAGGTCACTCTGGTGAATACACAGTCGTGATGGTATTTCCAGGGCTCCCCTGGACCTGTTTTCACACCCGTAGGAGGTGATGCCGGACAGCCCAGGAGGAGCACAGAGGACGCAGGACCATCATCCCGGGACAGCCACAGGAAATCCGTGGCCCCGGATGCTGCCCGGCTCCCCTGGGCCTTTTAGCTTTGGCGCTGTGCCCACTGGGGAAGCGTGACCCCCCTCGGACTAGAGTTTGCAGCCACTCTCTTGGGCTGCGCTCAGCATCACTTACAAGCTCTGGATTGTTTCCCATCCCCTAGCTGCTGGGAAATGAAGAGGAACTGAGTAGCACCGGGTTGGAGGTTTTTTGGGGTCTCGGTAACCACACTGCCACGGCCCCCTGCTCTAGTCCTGGTCACAGCCCAGCCCGCCGGCAACCCCAGCGTCCCCTCTCAGCCTACCTTCCCTCTCTGAACTCAGGAAATCATTTAAATACATGTTTACAGTGCCTCCCTCCCGAGAAGGCTTCCAGGTTCCTTATCTCACCCCTGTCTCATGATAATGCCTATTTTATAAGTGGGGAAACAGAGGTCAGGGAAGGGGTGTCCTTGTGCAAGGTCACACAGTGAGGGACAGAGCCACACACTCAGACCATGGGCCCCTTTCTGCTCTGCCAACAGAGAGCCGGGGAGTCCATACCTAGAGGACTGGACAATGCCAGTTAGGCTTAAAGGACCCCAAGAGTATGTATGATTTTACAGCCAAGTAAGATTCTTAGTTGGCTGTAATCTACAGAGAGCCAGTGACCTGCCCAAGGTCACAGGCTCAGAAAGTGACAGGAGAAGCTGCCAGACAGGGTCTCCTGACCCCTGATCCAGGGTTTTTTCCCTCTGGCCTCATTATTTCGTCACTCTGGACTTACCCCAGGTTAGACCTGGGAAGAGTCTGTTTTCCACAGTTAATCTAGACATCTACACTGCTGATTTAAAAAAAAAAAAAAATTCTATTCCTAAAGCACAAGGCCCCACAAGAGGCAAAGATGTCAAGGAGGAGAATTCACTGGAAGGAAAGGGTTAACCGCATCCAGTGGCTTCCCCAGATGGTATGACTGATCAATACCCCAGGTTAACTACAGCAATGATCAGTAGTACCCTCAAACCGTGGCTTCATCCAGGTTCATTTCAAAGGCATTTCAACATTGCCTTCATTTGACCCCACTGTAGTTACATAACCTATGGGGGGTAAAATGCTCAATCTAACCTAGAGATTCTTCAGCACCCTCACTCTAGGCCTTCTGATCCCCTACCCTTGGACCACTCCTTTGGGTGACATAGAGGTATCATGGGACTGGTGCATGGAACTCACTTTCCAACTTCTGTCCAGGGTGAGGTTGACCTTGGCCATGCTGGGTATGCCCCCCGAGCTAGAGGTTTCCTGACCAAACACCTTTCTGCCATGGCATTTCCCCTGCTTGGCCCCAAAGACAAAGAAAAGTCAAGACTCACATTTTGAGGTGGGTGCCGAAAATCCTTAGGGAGCTGCGGAACACCCTGTTTAGAGGAGGATTTCTCCTCGGCATGTCTCCCCTTCTGGTGCCATCCAATTTATCCTTGAGGCATGGTTGGTCGAGAAGAGCTGACTCCGCCCCCTGCCCCCCAAAGCAACCAACAGCTGTTACTATATTGAGTGGCAATATGATGTCATATCATAGGTGACTAACTCATCGAGCCTTCTCTGCGAGCCATCAGCTAAATATGACAGACTTCCATCATCCTGACCTTTTCACGGGAGAAAGCTGAGTGAGGGGCTTGAGGCTGCCTCTCAGGGCTCAAGTCCATGCCTGGCACTCCGTGGCCAGCATCTGTGACCGAGCATGTGAGCACACACATGTCCAGCCCCATACACAGGTGCCCTTCCTGGGAGAAGGTCACTTTCACCCCAGATGACTTTCCTCCACTGGCCTGACTTTGAAACTAGTAGCCATCACGATGTTTAACAATCAGAATCATTAGGCAAAGAATTGGGGAGGGGTCTGTATATGTTTACTTGTATAACCTAAGTACTGAGTTAGACATTTTACATAGAGTTTTTCATTTAATTTTCCAAGTGCTCTGAGGGAGACAACACAATCCTGTGGAGTTAGAGAAACTGAGGTCAGAGGGGTTAAGGACTTTCCCAAAGTTGCAGAGCTGATCGTGGTGGGGCTCAGACTCCAGCCCAAGTCTCTGTGACCCCAGGATGGACTGAACTCTACATACAGAAGAGTATCATCACCTTACCTGAGTTTTTTTTTTAAAAGACTTTATTTTGTATAGCAGTTATACATTTACAGCAAAACTGAGCAGAAAGTACAGAGTTTTTCCCATGTGCCCCTTATCTATCCTCACCTACACTCTCCTCAACTGAGATGGACCAGAACGGTATATTTGTTACAACTGATGAACCTACACTGACATCTCATAATCCCCAAAGTCCAGTTTACATTACAGTTCACTCTTGGCGATGCACATTCTGTGGGTTTGGACAAATGTATGATGACATGTATACATCACTGGATATCATAGAGTAGATTCACTGTCCTAAAAATCCTCTGTGCTCCCCCAATTCATCCCTCCCTCCCTTCTAACCCTTTGCAAGCACTCACATTTTTACCGTCTTCATGGCTTTGTCTTTTCCAGAATGTCATATAATTGCAATCACACAGTATGTAGCCTTTATAGGTTGCCTCCTTTGACTTAGTGATATGCATTTCCTGTTCTTCTGTGTCTTTTCATGGCTCTCTTTATTTATTTTTGGTGTTTAATAATATTCCATTGTCTGGAAGTACCACCATTTATCTGTCCATTCACCTGTTGAATCACCTAGCTTTAAAAAGTTCATTCTGTGTGTGCGTGCTTAGTCGCTCAGACTCTTTGCAACCCCATGGACTACAGCCCGCCAGGCTCCTCTGTCCATGGGATTCTCCAGGCAAGAGTACTGCAGAGGGTTGCCATTCCCTTCTCCAGGGGATCTTCCCGACCTAAAAATCAAACCCGAGTCTCCCGTGTCTCCTGCACTGCAGGCAGATTCTCTACCCGCTGAACCATTCATTCTGCTGTGGTTCGCATTAAAAACAGAGATAGCCACACAAACTGGTCTTTGTCTCCCGGACCTCCTACCTGCCTCCTCACTAGTGCCACCACATGCACCCGTCAGGGGGTGCCACTTTGGTCCCCCTTGCTATGCATCATTTCGCAGCCTGGGAACCAGCTATTCCTCCAGAACAAGCACTAAGGCAATCTGGGGAGTGCTCACACATGCACACGGCCAAACCATCTCACATTCCCTTCTTCCTTCAGCCCAATGTTTATCCTCCAGCCCCCAACACAGTCATTCCTAACATGTCTCACCAGTTATCAAACGGGTTTTCTTTTCTTTTTTCAATTCCAACCATCCAACCACTCAAAAGTATTTACTGAGCACCTCCTATATGTCCGTCTTAGATGGAAAGTCTCTAGAGGACACTGAACATGTTTACGTAAATTTGCATGTAGTCACATCTATCACAGCACCCAGCGCCATGAACAAAGACTTTTTGCTGGGGTGTGTGTGTGTGTGTGAGTCTGGAGACAAAAACAAAAGCAAACACAATGACTAAAAATAAGCCTGTGAGACCATCTGAGTTAGCATCATCCAATTATAATATAATTATATTGATTATATTTGACATTATAATTAAAAAACTATTGTTATATTCATAATAAAAGCCCTTACATAGCACTTTCTATGTTTTGGTATGTTTTTGTTGTTTAGTCGCTAAGTCGTCACCGACTCATTTGTGACCCCCGTGGACTGTAGCCTGCCAGGCAAATCCATGAGATTTCCCAGACAAGAATACTGCAGTGGGTTGCCATTTCCTTCTCCAAGGGGTCTTCCCGACCCACAAATTGAACCCATGTCTCCTGCATTGGCAGGCGGATTCTCTACCACTGAACCACCAGGGAAGCCCTCCAGTGCTTTTACATAGATGGTAAACCTCCTTGTTGCCTGAAAACGCTGTATAAGCGGAAATAAAAATAGATTAAAGGAAGTTTCAAATAAATTTCTGGAGGGCAGATCTATAACACGTTAGTAAAGTGGAGTTAGGAATAACCAGGACGCATTCTTAACCAATGAGGATGACATCACAAAGGGCAAGTGCCATAATCCCGCCCAACCATCTTAGTGGCTCCACTGGAGGCTGGTGCTCAAGGGAGGCAGAGCTCAGGGTTAACCCTGCAGCCACTGCTAACGGGTCATCGAGGACCTGGGTGTACCGAGCCCCTGGGCTTCCGCTGTGCTGGGAGCCTGCCAGTGGCTCCCTACACCACTACGCCCACTTTTGTGCCATTCTGTTTCTCCCCCACAAAAGAAGTGCTTTGTTTTGTATCATCCACTGAGTCACCGGCACGGTTGGGAACAGACCCAGGATCCCTGCTCCTTTCTTTGCTGGGGCTGTCTGCTGGAGATCACACTCCTTCCAGGTCAGTGGCCAATTACACTGATGGTTCTTAACAACATTTAATGGGGTTTTGGGGCATAGGAAAATGATGGGAAGTAAAGACTGGGAGATAAAATAATCAAAACCTGAAATGACACACAACATCTTGATTACTGAAGGTTTAAAAATGGCAGTCCAACTCACTGTTGTTCTCATTCCACTGGGAAATGCGCCTAAGTTGGCTCCGATGGTAAAGAATCTGCCTGCAGTGCGGGAGACCCAGGTGTGATCCCTGGGTCCGGAAGGTCCCCATGCACATTTATGTTCACCGTTTCACCTGAGACTCCTAACAGAGGCGTGAACCGTGAAAGAAGCAGTGAGCTGCTAATCAAGTGACTAGGACTCTCTACATAACAGGCCATGTGGCCCCGGGCAGGTCACTTCACCCAGGCCTCAGTTCCCTAGCTGTAAAACAGGGGCTGGCCTGGTTGGCCTGAAGGTCCCCTACTGCTCTAAGCTTCCACATCTGCATGTCCAGCCCCAGTACAGAGGGAGAGCCGCTGGCCACAGCTGAGGCTGCCTGCGGTTTTCTCCATCTTCTCCCAAGGCTGCCATGGGAGACACACAAGGTGTTCGGTCAGAGGCTCCAGAAGAACCCGGAGAACAGGAAGAGCGGTGGGCAGTGACTTCATCAGCCTGATGGAGGGGCCGGGAGCAGGGCACTCAAAGATGAGAGCTGGGTGGTGGGGGGAGACTGGGTATGAGGGGAGAGAGGTCAGTTCTAAACGTCTCTGGGGGGTAAGCCGGGGGAGGAAGGTACCCCTGATAGACCTGGCAGGGGTGCCCTGAGGATGGGCCTGTGACGCTCAGCCAACGACCAGTAACGACCGTCAGAAGATGCCAGTGACAGCGGCTCGCCGCCCGCCTCCACTTCCAGGACACAGGCAGCAGCGTTTGGCTCAGAACTGCACGAAGCTGTTGTCTCATTCCGTCTTGGCATGACGACGCTGTTTCAGTAGGAATCGCTGCTTTACAGAGAGGAGATGACGATGCAGGAGGAACAAGGTATTTCTTCAGCACTGGGGCAGAAGGACACTGGCGTGCCGGACCAGGACGCATTAAGCGGGATGCCCTCTCTAGTATCCAGAAAGAAAACAGAGCCAAGGGTAGGCGTGGCAGGGCTGGGACTCGGCTGTGGTGAGCGAGGTGCCTCGAGTGCAAACCTCAAGGAGGTGCCCGCTCTCGGGGCCCCGCAAGTACAGGAAGGACTCCCTCACCTACCCTCATCTGGGTCAGGCCCTGAGGTCTCGCCCTCGTGTATCCGCAGGCTGGGGTTACTTGTGGATTACCTGTTCAGAGGCACTGGAATTGCGTTAAAGGGGAAAAACTACTCTCCAGGACTCAGTACACCCAGAATAAAACATACGTATCACAGCCCACCTTCATCACCAAAAACACTGACTTGGGAGTCCAGCTGACTTGGGAGTGACTTTCAGGCTGCTGTTCCTTAAGCTGTGTAGCCTAGGGAAACAGGCTTAATCCTGTGCCCGGATTTCCTCCCTCATCCGTAAAATGGGGACAATAACAACCACCTCAAAGAGAAGAGAGAGTTAAAAAGAGCGGAGGGAGGATTACGAACAAACCTGCCACACACCTCAGTGGACTGTTAGTCCCCAGTGAGATGGTGATCGAGCTCAATGGCGAAGGACGGGACGGGGTTCCGGCCTCCGGGAACGTCCACAGGCAACATTAGCCTAAAAGGAGGGGTAGATACCAGTTCACAAAGTTCATATCCAGAGTTTCTTGTTCCAGGTCACACACCTAACAAGAGAATTTGGACACAGTCAAAAAATACTGATAAAACAGCCAAGGTGGCCCAAGTTGATGAGTTACAGACAGACATTCAAACCACAGCCTTTCTCTGTCAGCAGAGGTGTAAGTGAAGGGGTAGGCAGTGACGAGCCATGGAAAATTCCTGACTTTTGGGTCAAGAGCAGACTCTGGTTAATCAAGGAGGACTTCCAGGAGGAGGTTCTGGGGCTTCTGGGCGCCTCCAATGAGGCTCAGTTGCTTTCCTTTTTTTCATTCCTATCTCAGCAATCACTTTTTCTCAGTACAAAGGGATATAAAACGGGCTCCGACTCTACGGGTGGGTGAGCGGAGTCATCGCCCCACATCTTTCACGATCCGAGGCCTGGTCCCTTTAAGGCATCGAAACTCAGTGAACATTCTAGGCTGGCCCCGCGGCCTTCCCGAGGCGCGCTGACGTCACCCTTCGGGGAAGCGGCTGACGTCAGCGCGTCCTCTGCTGGTGGGGGCGGGGCCGTGACTCACTCGGGCCGCGCCCGCCCCTGGCCCCCGTGCGCCGGGTGCACGTGAGCGCGCCCCGCGCTCGCCTAATTTTAGCTCCGGCAGCCCCCGTGGGGTCGGGTGAGGTTAAGGCCGGCAGAGGGGACGCGGGGGCTGGGGGCGCGGTTCTGTCGGTCCCTTGCTGGCCCTCCATCGGTTCTTCTGGAGGATGGGTCCCGGCCGCCCGAGTTGCTGGAGTGCTGGCGATTGCGAGCCCAGTCCTGAGCTTGGCGTAGGCGCTCAATAAACAGAATCGGGGTTCCCTCCTGGATGCGACGCGGCACTTCCTAGAGAGGGCCAGGGTTCTGGAAGGTTACCTGGGGGCTGAAGTCAGAGCAGGAGCAGGGCTCGGGCGTCAGCCGGCCAATCGCCTGGCCTCTCTGAGTGGACCCCGGGCTTGGCCGGTGTGGCCAACAGCTGGTGGCGGTGGTGGGGTGGGCAGGGAGGAAAGGCGGCCGGGACCCTCAGGGAGCAGCCGCGCTGGAGTCAGTGACAGCGGTAGGGACGGTGCCCTCAGTGGTGTGGTGGCCATCTAGGGGTCGGGCTAAGTACAGAGGCCTCAAGTTGAGGAGGCAGCGGAGATGCTCAAAAACCCAGATGCTCCATCCCGAGCCCCGGAGTACCCAGGTGACCTTGCTGGAATCAGATGAAAGCTTCATTTTAAAGAAAGTGCCCGACACCTTGTGAAATCGATACTCTCCTGTTCTTTGGGAGGTGGGGGACCGACACGAGGGACTTGAGTTTGAGTAAGTTCCAGGAGTAGGTGATGGACAGGGAAGCCTGGCGTGCTGCAGTCCATTGGGTTGCAAAGAGTCGGACACGACTGAGGGACTGAACTGAACTGGGGGGTAGCTCTGGAAAGAGGCTCTGTCATCATAAAGTGAACAGCAATTTTGACTTTACCTAGTGGTCTGCTGTTCCTCAGTGGACCTGCATTCTTGTTGGCGTGGCATCCTCAGATTTCACAGGGATTGTCTCTTGTTCAATCGCCAAGTTGTGTCTGACTCTTTGAGACCCTGTGGACTGCAGCACGCCAGGCTTCCCTGCGTCCTTCACCATCTCCTGGAGTTTGTAGGAAGCTTGTAAAACTATTTAAGGTTCCTTTGACCTTGTTAGGTGAGGGGTCTTAGATGTTACAAAAGAATATTAAATAGAATGATAAACTGAGAATGTCAAATGGTGGTAGGGGAACTTTTTCTAATTGTTGGATCATTCGAATTTACATATCAGGTTGTTAAATGCTATAACCTTAAAAAAAAAACTTTGCCTATGTCCTTTTCTTAGAAATGGTGGAAAGTTAGTTGTGGAATAAAAGTAGCCTTGAGGATTGTAACATGAATGAATGACAAATTTGTAAATCAGATACGTAATTTTCATTTTTTTTCCCCAAGAAATACCGCTTAGGCTTTGGTAAATTGGAGATTTTTTCAGATATAAATATGGAAACTGCAGGAGTGTTTATTCCCTATTCACTATCCATCTTAACAGTTTAGAAAGGACTAGCGGTTTACAGTCTTCACAACTGAATACATCCAGAGGTATGCATAGTGTTTTATATTGTTCTTATAGCAACAGAAGTTTCTTTGTCCTAATTTTGGACGGTTGCTACCACATATTCCTCAATGGTGCCTATTTGGGACTTCATTGAGCAGGTGTCAGTCTTGATGAATCATGGTCTCAGACTGAGCTAATTTCGCTTTGTGTGAGGTTATTGTTGTGTGTGTATATAATATATAAGAACCTGAACGTCAAGTTTTTCACGTTCAGACGTTAAGGTTTTTAGTCTGGAAACAGTTCTTGCTTTAAAATTACTTCACCTTGAAATGGTCCACGTGCGTCCTGAAGACAGCCTTTAGCGTTTCTGTGAAGTCTTCCCTGCCCCCACGTGTCCCCGCTTGCTTTGAGTCCTCAGCTCTTCAGGTGTTCCCTGTGGCCTGATTGTTCACTTTCTGGTTTGTTTCTCCTGCTAGACTAAACTTTTGGGTCCAATGAACTAGTGTCTCTCTGTATCTCTGGCATCTTGGATAGGGCTGGCATGTAGTAAGAGCCACACTGGTGGTGTTTTGTTCCATTGAATAAATGTGAGTTTTCCAAATCAAATCGCACATGTTGGGAGGTTTTATTTTGTTTTAAATAGCTGAGAGGATATGGCGATGGACCTATCTTGCTGTTGTAGGGCAATCAGTTCCTTTCTTTTCCAGGTCCGCTCTAACCTCTCCCCTAGCACCACCACCACCACCCACGAGCGAGAAGCCAAGGAAAATAAAACCAACAACCAGACTCTACATTATTTTGAGATCTCAATAGTATGCTGTACTTCTAGAGTCAAGATGATAGAACCTTGGCTCTCCCGGCCAGAACTAATCCGCACACTGGCATTAGTCAGGTTCTTTTCACAGAGGAGTTGGCCAGTCTTTACTCTTAAAAAAAATGGGAATTTTAGGACCTCTGCTGTGACTGTGGACAGCTAAGACTGGTTGGTGAATGGAATGTTTACATTTGAAACAGAATGGGTTTCTGCACAATGATGCTTAATGCTTACCCTTAGAAAGGATTTAAGAATATAAAATGAAGATAATGTACTTATTCTCTTTCTAAGGTCAAAGGGAGGGGATTTTTACAGTAAAGTTTTACTAGCCAAAACTCTTAGCAAACTGGAATTGATGTCAGACACTGAATTTTACAGAAGGCTGA